TCTGTCCGAAACTCACGAACGCATAGCATGAATTCTGCATTTAAACTAAGCACCACGCGTTAATCCCGAGATTTTATCATTTTGCATTTTTTATGCTCTAACTTTTGCCTTGGCCGCCCTTTCGGGTTTTCAACCTAGCGAGCTCATCTCTTGCCTAAACCGCCCTTTCGGGTTTTCAACTTAGCTGATTTTTTTTTTAAAATCATCATTTCAGACGTAGAACCTTTTCATTTGATCTTGATTAACGATTCGCTTGACAGGCTCTCCTTCCATAGTGACTAATTCAATGGTGCCTTTAGGTAACAACTTCTGAATTCTGAACGGTCCATGCCAGTTGGGCTTGAATTTCCCACCAGGATGATGTTGGGCTTCATGATCCAATAACCTAATCAACATCAAATCTCCGTTCTTTAAGGCCCTTGGATGTTGGATGTACCCGCTTGTTGTAGAAACGAGCAATCCTCCTTTTTCTCATCTGATCCTGGAATCGAGCATTCAGTCTTTTTTCGTCTAAAAATGCCAGATCTTCATACTTTTTCTTGACCCATTCTTCTTCGGTCAGACCAGCTTCTACCAAAACCCTGAGAGACTTCTTTTCGAGCTCTTTTCAAGCTCTACCGGTAACACTGCCTCCATCCCGTATACCAATTCAAAGGGAGAAGCTCCACTTACTGACTTGAAAGTAGTGCGATGCCCCCAAAGCGCGAAAGGAAATTTCTCAGCCCAGCTTCTGTACCTTTCACACATCTTTGATAGGATTCTTTTGACCTCCTTGTTCACTGCTTCTACTGCACCATTATATCTATAAAGCAACTGACCAACATCTGCTTGAAAGTGAGAGCCATTATTTGTAACTATGTGATGGAGCACACCATAGCGACAGAAAATGTTCTGTTCAATGAATCTAGCCACATGCTTGGCGGTTAAGGTTTTGTAAGATTGAGCCTCAATCCATCTAGATGCTTGGCAGTTAAGATGCTATAAAGATTGACCAGCCTCGATTCTGTAAGATTGAGCCTCGATCCATCTAGAGAAGTAGTCAACTGCCACCAATATATACTGATGACCATTGGATGCTGCAGGTGAGATTTTACCGATCACGTCTATGCCCCATGCAGAAAAATGCCACGAAGGAGTTGTCGGATGGAGTTCGACAGCTGGCAAGTGGTTTCTATTGTCATGGTATTGGCAAGCTTTGCAACGGCGCAGATACTGAACACAGTCGCCTTCCATCTACATCCAAAAATAGCCTTGCCTCATGATTTTTCTCTCAAGGCTCATACCGCTTAGATGAGTACCGCAGACTCCTTCATGAACTTTTCTCATTATGTCCTCTCCTTCTTTCTTACTCATGCATCGCAGTAACATCCCATCCCAGGTAGAGTTCGCCATCGGCTAGGACATAGTTCAAGCATTTTACTTAAGACTGCACGGTCTTCTTTCGTCGGCATCTCAGAAAAAGTACCGTTCTTTCATATTACCTCAGATATCCATAAAAACCAGGCTTCTTCCTCTGACTCAACCTGATTCACAAAATGTTCTTCATAGCACGGGATGTTTACCGCGGTAATGATAAATGGCTTCTTTGGGACTTTACTTAAATCCTGCCAAGCTGACACCAGGTTTGCCAAAGCATCTGGGATTCTGTTGTGGGTTCGTCCTACGTGAGTGAAAGTGATAGAGTCAAAGAGCGCTGCTTTCTTTAACAAGTACTCAACGTAGGGTTTCAACCTTTCTTCCTCCACTTTCCATCTCTCGTTAGCATGTTCGATAACCAACAGTGAATCTCCTATCACCTCGACTTCCTTAGCACCTGAGCGCCAGAGCAAGAAGAACTTTCCACTTCCATTCCCATGATGCACGCTTCATATTCTGCCATGTTGTTAGTGACCGGGAACAATAATCTCTTGCACATGGTTGTAACTTCGCCGTTAGGTGCCTCTATAACAATACCAGCCCCAGCTCCGTTTCTATTGGCTGATCCATCAAAGTATAATATCCAAACTCCTGTGTCATTACTCAGCAAATGTTCATCTGGAAACTCCAATTCCCAGGATTCATCATCCGTCACAGGGTTTTCTGCTAGGAATTCCGCCACAGCTCGACCTTTGACCGTCTTCTTCGTTACGAACTCCGCATCCACGCTAGACATTTGAATACATTTGAATCAACCACTTAGGACAACCGTCCCGTCTAGAAGTAGGCAATTTCTCTGCAGATATTTAGTGGTATCAATTTTGGAGACAAAAGGTAGTGACCTGAAGGAATCAAAATACGCCCTCAATTTCTTTATCGACCACACTACTGCCATGCATGTGTTCTCAATCAGATTGTATTTCTCTTCGATAGGCAATAGTTTCTTACTTGATGTAGTAAATGGCCCTTCTCTACTCCAAAAAGAAAAAAAACAGCATTCCGGCGTGTACCAACAATTGCTCCCACTCCTTGCATCTTCTATAATAGAGATACAGATCAGAGGCTTCTCCGCGTCTTGGTAAACTAAGCACCGTGGATTCATAACAAGTATTCTTAGTGGTCAAGGCTTCTGGCAATCTTCATTCCACTTAACCGGCTAATTCTTTTTCAGTAAACTTGAAAAATTTGGAGCGACAGGTGATGGATAACCTCGAAATAAACTCTGCTGCATGTACTGAATTTTACCAAGAAGCTTCTTCACCTGACGTTCATATTTTCTTGGCCGTTCCATATCCTTGAATGCTTTTATTTTGTTCTGGGTCAACCTCCAATCCCGTTAGGTCCTACCACAAAAACCCAAACATTTCCCTTCGTCACTCTTGAGATAACACTTCTTGGGATTCAGTTCTCAAAGTTATACTGTTTGACCCGTGCGAATAAACTTCGTCCAACATCTTCTGCATGTTTCTTCCTTGTTTTTTGTCATGATCACCATATCATCTACATACACTTCCAATCCTTTATGGCATCATTCCATGAATAAACTAGTAGCCAATCCTTTGGATATTTTGCCCCGGCGTTTCTTCAGTCCAAAACGGCATTACTCCTTGTAGCAAAATGTTCCGAAGTCTGTGGTTGAAAGCGGTCTTATGTTGGTATCACTAAGCATCAACATCTGGTTTATATCTGTCGAGTCGCTCCATGATAGATTAAACCATCCATCCAGCAGCACTGTCTATCAAAACATCTATGTGTGGAAGTGGAAAAGTCTCTTTGGGCGAGGCTTTGTTCAGGTCCCTGTAGTCGACACAGACCCTTATCCTGCCAGTCTTTCTTCAGCACCGCGGACTATATTTCGCTAAACCTTTCCGGGGATAGTGTACTACTTCTAAAGAATCTGCATTCCCAACTGCTCTGGACTTCAGCTGTTGATCTTGTCCTGCCATTTCCGCGTCTGACCCTTCTCCTTTTCTGTTTCCACTGGCTTGATGTCGGATCAGTTAGGATGGAAATGCTCCGCTATTGACCTTTCAATCCCTGGCATGTCCGCATAGCTCAGGCAACACCCTCTGAATTTTTTCTGAATGCATTCTTGAAGATGCCTGTCTGAAGCTCAGGTTTGAAGTATGATCCGATTTCGATAACTTTAGGATCTTGGTGGCGGTGCTTAATTAAATGCAAAATTATGCAATGCATTTATGTTCAAATATGCGAGTGGTATAATCAATGCCATGAACTTGACAATCAGGAAAAACAAGAAAACAAAAGTCAAAGTTCACTTCCATAGTCAAAGTTCACTTCCATTGATTGAAATAAAAGAGGAAAACCATCCATATGTTCTCGAAACAAGCATCAGAAAAACAAAACACAGGATTAATTGCTTGTTCAATACATTCATTACAAGTATCTTTTATTGCCTGGACCACTTCATCAGTGTCTGCATCTTCTTCTCGTTCCGCCGGGGTGTCTCCTTTCTTGGCCTCTCCCTGCTCCATCATCTTCTTCGTCTTCCTCTCTGTTTCTTCGGCATCTTCAGCGGCTAGAACAGACTATAGGATCCTCGCCTTGGCCTTTTGCTCTTGCACTGACTTGGAAGTTTCATCCCCAATCCCCAAAAAGTCTTCAAACTCGAATATCTTCTTCAACCAATCAGATGGTGCTTGCTTTGTCTGTCATTGCATCCATAACTCGGGTTGCCATCCACCAGCTGTTCCAAAGAAGTTCAGGCGACTTGACCGAGCTTCTCCTCATAATCGGTCATAAATATCTCCAAACCGGGATATGTCTTTCCTTGCTGCTGGAAAATTCCCCCTTAGCTTGTGGAACAAGAAGATCTGATCAAGGTTTTGGCCCTTCTGACCGGGAGATTGAATCTATATCTTTCCTTCTTTTATTTTCAAAAATACCCCAGTCCACGCTTGGCTTGCTGCCCCAATTGCCGATGAGAGAGGCTCAAAACCTTCCTTGCAAACTCCCAGCCTAAACCTTTTGCCGTACTCCAATTCATCTTCTTCATCATCTTTCTCGAAAAGACTCATCTATTTACTGCACTCTTGCTCTTGCGCGGTGGCATGTGACATCAAATTACTGCCATTTGAAAGCCGATAACGGGTCTACCGCTATAGCTTCGTAAGCCTTTCCACTATCGCTACACTCAGATCTCTTGCGATTGAACTGTATACCCACATCTGTTCCCCACGGAATTTTTCACTTTTTCTGTGCAGGAGGTGATGGAACCGCACCTAGAGGTGAGGTCCACGGTCTTCCTAACACAAAAGAGCATAGCTGCGCTAAGATGTCAAGCACAACTACGTCTACCCAACTTTTCCACTGCCCCTGTGGATTATCTTGCTTGAAGTCCCTTTTGCCATTCCGCTAGGTTATTCATACAGCCTTGACCACCATGTTTGATGGCTCAAGCTCTGATTCTTCAATCTTGAACTTTAGACAGGGCACTTCAGCGGGCATTTACAACATAGTGCTGTTCGTTGTCCACCATCACATTCCGGGTGTCTCGTCCATTGGACGAAAAATCTGAATATACAGTGGCTTACAGGATTCCTTTCCTTCGTCTGAGGCTGAGTTCAAAAGAAAGTGACTTCGCCTATTCTCCGCGTGTAGCACATTATCATGTCGACACTTTGGAATTCGAGGCCAGCACTCTGACGGAAGTTCATAGCTTCCAAGTAAAAGCTTCTCTGTGCCTCCTTAGATTCTATCAGTAAATCCCAGTATCGATAATGTCTGCTTCTGTTTTCTGCAAACTGACTCAGTACTGAGTGCGTCACCCCCACTAGGTGTCTTGCTCTGCAACTGTTCTCCCAACTTCGACAGCCTTCTTTTGCCCTTTCACACCTCCTCTTCTTTCTTTTCTCTTTCGGTTCCTCTCCGCCTTTCTCTGTCACTTTCTTCTTTGCTCCATCAACAGCAATCTCTTTTCCTTGGCCTGCATCTACTGTTCTCGGATTGTAACAACTCGCCTGCTACGAGTCAAGCTTGAACACTACTTCGTTCACTTCTTCTTCACTGCTGTGAATACCATTGTTCCTCTTGTCGGTTAAGCTCTTTGAATTGGCCAGTTGAGCTGTTTCATCCTTCATCCTCCGCACATCGCCCACCTTCACAGTGATTTACTTTTCTCGATTTTCATTCTTCACTGCACCTTCTCTTTCCTCATCACTACTACAGTCGTCCCATAATGGTCAAATGGCGCACATCCGCTCTTCCCATCTGCTTCAGCTAATACATCTCTTTCTGTAATCCGCTATCAACTCGCATTGACCGATCCACGACTGAGCTTACGAGGCAGGTAATTGTACTGTATTGGGAAGCGGATTGTTCTTAGTGCTTGGCTTACCTCTTTTCGAAGGCTTGGTAATTTTTCCATGCTCGATTCAAATCTGGATATCGTGCTAATTGAAACGATTCATCAGTTGCCATGCCCTTGCACTGATTGGTAATCACAAATTTCGGTCCATGTATCCCTCGAATTGGTTTAGTCGGGCCTACTCGACCGGTGCTTGTCAACACTCCATTTCTTGATGCATATCTAGCACTTGCTCAAAGTCTTCCCTAAAGTCAGTGAACTCCCTCCCTATTCGTCTCATTAAACTGGCCCCCACTGTGGCGTTACTGCTTCCCGACTGGTTCTATTACTTGCTTCCGGCACCTCTTGTCACCATAAGAAGTCCCGGTATGTTACCAAACCCTCTGTTCTTCTTCTTTTCTTCCTTGTACATTCCTCGATGTTTAAACCAGCACTTTAAACCGAAGAGGCGAGTTCAACATCCTTTCCTTTGAAAGAAGGGCAACAGCTCCTACAAAAGATACGGGATCAACTCTTTGTCTTTTGGCCTTGTCTGAACTCTATACAACTTAGTTCGCCACCTCCATTGTAGTAAAATCGAAAAAGCTTCATCCTTCCCTGTCTTAAACTCTCCAGATCACGCCAGACTGAAACTCATCATCTCTTCAAATCTTGAAATTGTTTGAGGAAAGTTTTCTGCAGTTTGATCAATTCTTCTGAAACCTCCTCGTCTAGAACCGTCATACCATCTCTTATAGTCCTTGTGTAGTGTTTGTGGGAAAATGCTCGGCAAAACAATCTTCCTCGTTGTATCGGTTCATTTGGGATTACTCGAGAAATTCAGCGACAGTGAGACATGGATCCATTATCTCCTTCAAATATAGAATGCTTTGAAGTTCTTGAATGAGGCCGAACTGGTCGGGTGCAAAACATACTCAATTATGCTGAAAAATTGCTGGCCGGCGGTCTTTCTCCCTTTACTGTCGCCATTTTGTCGAATCTTTCCTCAGATCGGCGAGTTGCTTGAGCACCATCATTTTCGACATTTGGACACGTGTCTCCCACAGAAGCTTATTACTGGACACAGTTCCATGGATTGGCCTTTCTTTCAGCCACAGGTTGGCTACCCGAAGGGGAAGTATTCTGTTTTGAGCCCTGTCTTAAGCAGGAAGCCGCAGCCACAATCGATTTCAATAGTTCTTATCTGAGCTCAGAAATCCGGTCTCATTTCTGTGTTAATCCGCCATTTTTACGAATCTGAATCGGGCTCTGAATCTGATTTTGAAACTGGCCTGATTCACGGAGCTAACCGAGCAAATTCGGGGATTGGGGATGTTCGACTAGACGCTGACTAGATGTCGATTCCAAACTCTCGAAGTAGTTTCCCGGGAAGGATCAAATTCTTGACAAAAAATTCCATGAGTTAAAGGGTGGGTCCTTTTACATGTATCATGCAAAAATGAAAGCACATAGGATGAGAAATGCATTTCTAATGCGCTAAAGCCAGTATGGAAATAAGATCTCGGTTTCGACGACCGGATCAAAAATTCGGTATGAATAATACATCAATAACTTCTTTTGTATTTAAATATTTCAAGCATTATCTGTCGTCAATCGTTCCTTTTGGATTTACGATCAACTATTTTCTCTCGAACCCCTAATTTTTGCCTTGGAATGAAAGAATTTCCGAGCGGAATTTTACTTTTGTTGTTTATTATTATTTTTTTTGTATCCTTACTTTTTGCCTTGGAACATATGGTCCCAAGCAGGATTTTCTTTTATTTTGTTACAAAATTTTATGATCTCTCACTTATTTTTTTTCAGATAATGCCTGAGAAATGTTGAAATACAAAGGAAATTGGCAACCCCTTATAACTCCCTTTCTTTTGGGGTATTAGTTCACTATAAGTAATTGCATTATATTATTCATAACGAATTTGAGATCCCGGTCTCAAAATCAAGGTTCCAAATGTTCGCATTACCGAACATTAGCTCTTATTAATGCCATGGCTGAAAAAGAAAGTGTTACATGGTGCATGAATGTCACAAACATATGTACAGTTATAGCCAAAACAGCGGGGAACGAGGAGTGGGAAATGCATGCCTTCCAACCTTATTCTCCCACACACGAAATTCCATTGGTATAAATTCCGAACATCTGTGTCCTAGGAATAGGTCTTAATCTCGGACAACCAACATAGGGTTTTTGAGATTGACGATATAAGCGTTCTCGAATGAATGCGCATTACAACAGCAAGTAGAATCGGGTGCACCTTAGAGGAAGTAACTAAGGTGTTAACTATGTGCATGGGCTTCGGTCTCATTAGGCTGAACAAAAGTCTGGTTCCGCAAAACAGGATTCAGGCTTTGTTGGGCCTACTCCTTTTGACGCACTTTTAAGGTACTAGGCTTGCGGTTGGTAGTAATGTTAATCTCAGATGGATGCCACCTTTAAATCGCATTGGTCTAGGCTAAGATCCACCGTCCAAACTTAAACAATTAGTACCGGAGGGTGTATGGGTTAGAATGAAGATGAAGAAGCAAGGAATGCGAATGATGCAAAAAATCCTAGAAGGAAAAGGAAGTAATTAAACAACATACGGGGACGATTAATATAATTTTCCATTCGCTTTTTTTCGAATCAATTTTATTAGAAATAAATAGCTTTAGAGTCAATTCTAATTGCAACCATTAAATTATTAAACATAACGAGGATTAATGGTGCAAAAAATCCCCAGTGAAAGTTTTTAAACTGTTTTCCCCTGGAGAAAATCAAACTTTTTCGTTCGAGTATTTAAATATTTATTTGGAAAAGGCGGTGACAAAAACCTTTTTGGATGCAAATGCCGACAGATCGGTCTTATAAATCATTCTTAATCGCCACCCATTATTTTGGCAATGGGACCATTTCCATTTTTAATTTTATAAAAAATGACTCCGTTTTAACCCATATTATTTAAGGCCTCTTATTTTAAAAAAAAACTGGTCAAAAGAACCAATGAGATTCTAAGTAAGGGAATTAGGTACATCGGCCCGTTGGAAACCGACGCTCGGAAGACCGGCCTCTTTAACCTACGATTTCTAATTTGATTTTATTTTAGAAAAGCCAATTATTTAAACCCAAACCCGATTAAATCGGACCGAGCTCCTATGTGGAAATTAAATTAATCGCCCAATTAGGTTCCATCATTGCATGCATTCACAAATTAAATTCATTATCATCCATCATCCTTCCATAATACATATCAAATAAAATAAAAGACCCACTCTTTGCCTTATGGTTAAAGGCTTTGCCACAAAATTCGAATTTATAATATAATTAATAATAAAACAAAAAGAATTAAATCCTAAAAAAATCCATAATCATCTAATAATTAATGGATCCAGTTTGATTAAAAACTAAGTTTGCCCATAATGATTAATTTCTGAGTTAGGACAAAATCTACTTAGTAACATGAAATTAAAACGAAATAAGGAAAAACTATTCGTGGAATTTAGGACGTCGCAGCACGCGGGTGTTTCTAATGGAAGAAACAGTCGCTGACGGAACTCTCCTTATCATTCTGGAACTTTACGAACAGCGCCGTCACGCGGTGTGTTCTATGAAGAACACGGAACAGTCGCGTGACGGAACTTTTATTATATTACTGGAAATATGAACAGTTGCGTCACGCAGCTGTTCTATGAAGAACAGTCGCGTGACAGAACCCCTAGCTACGTGACGGAACTATTCGTGACTTATTAAAATTCTCAGCTTTATTGATTATTTATACAAAATATCACATTAAATGTGAAAATGAAAATAAAAGTATACTGGGTATTGTTGACGCGTGTTTTTATGCCCCGCCTGATCCGATGAGGACACGAGGATAAATGAATTAATGGTATTTAGAAGTCTTTTCATCCAAGGATTTTTATAACTGCATGACGCGACTGCTCTGGTCCGCAACTACCTTTCAAACTACCTTTTTTACGTTTCTTTTCTGTTAACAATGGTTTAACACAACTCAAAAATACTCAAAAATGGGCAAAATAGCGTTTAATCAATACCAGACTAACCAAATACTAGAAAAATGGGATTTTTAAGATATAGAATGTTATGAATGAAAAAGAGAAGTTAGGATCGTTACCTAGCCCTCAGATTTGAGGATTGCATGCACTAAAGTTAGTTCAGAGATGTTGTATCACAATTCCAGAAGACTTTTTCACAAAAAATAAATCGTTTTTCCTTTTCTTTCTTTCTTTTCTCTCTTTTCCTCTTTTTGTCCTTTTTTGTGTTTTTTTGATCTTAAACCTAGAATATCTATGACCTGATCTTCTTCAAGTTTACTCAGTTGAGTTCTTGAGAAAAAGCTCTGGTCGTTGATCCAAAACTTAGTCTCAGAAGGTTACCTTTTCAGAGGAAATGAGAGCAAAAAATGTTCAAAAAAAGGTCCCGTTTTTTTCTGTAAAATGCAGTATTTATATGGCTAGGGCAACAGAGCAGTCGCGTCACGCGGGTAGAAGCTGCGTGATGCACCCGTAAGCTTGCGTGACGTGACTTACGACGCGACTTACTTTTGCGCGTCGTATCCATACAAACAGTGCAGGCCGTTGCACGGTGGAGCGCGCGCCAGAGTGTCAGCCCTGTTAAGCTGCGTGGACGCAGCTAATAAGTGCCGTTCACGTAGTACTAGCTGGTGACGCAGCCCTAACACGGGTCAGACCCCTTTTGGGGGTTTGATTCAATTTCTGGTTCAAACTACTTCCTGGTTTAATCGTGGATTAACCTTGTCCCTTGTCCTCATGTCATCACCGGGCCAGGTGGGGGCATAAAAATCACGCATCAACATGGTTAAAAGTAAATAATATTTTAATGGCAATAATAATTAATATTGCTTTCACAAAAAATGAACCCAACAAATATTTTTTTTCTAATCCACAAATCTACTATTTGGTTTTACGAAATTACGATAATAATAAAAAAAAATCTTAGTAGAGATATGGGGACATGCAATATTGAGAAGAGATGGGGAGAAAAAACACAAATAAATAACAGAACATTATGAAAAATTAAGAGAGATACATATTCAATAAAGTAATTACATGTACCATATCATCATCTTAAAACCACAAAGATGTTAAAAGTGACTAATCTTAAAACCACAAAGATGTTAAAAGTGACTATGGAAGTTTGAACTTGAATAGAACATAAACATTATCTTCTAGAAAATATTGACAATTTGTAATGCATACCTCAACGAACCAAAACCATGCTTGTCGCCATTGAGGGTTTATACACAAAACTGCAGCTATTGACAATAGTACCATCAAGTACGCTACTGAAAAGCTAATAAAGAAAATATTCATGTCTATGAAGCCATTCTCCTCTTGTTTTTCATATGTTGAAACTCCAGGCATCAATGGTGGTGATAATGTTGCATTGCAAGTATTTGGTAATGGAAGTCCACAAAGATAAGGATTTCCCTCGTAGCTACTCTTATCAAATGTGGCAAATTGAGCAACTCTATCAGGTGTCTTTCCAGATAGATTGTTAAATGCTACACTGAAAACTTCTAAAGAATGTAGTTGAGTGATCTGAAGAGGGATTTTCCAATTCAAATTGTTGTAAGAAATATCCAAACTCTCAATTTGATTGAGATTGCCAAATGTTGATGGAACTTGTCCTATTAGATTATTGTGAGAAAGGTTCAACACTTTGATCTCCTCAAAATTTCCAATTTCAGGAGGAATTTCTCCTATCAATTTGTTGACGGAAAGATCTATTCCAGAAAAGAAGAGAAGAATGCTTCGTTGGAAAGAATATGTCATCCACTTTGTTGTAAATTCTAGAGGATTCGGCTGACGTTCTACAGATTTTCGGCTAAATATTTCTGATGTACCTAAATGTTACCCACTCAACTTTAGACAAGGAAGGATATGACCAGAAAGATTATTGTTAGACAAATCAATTAACTGTAAAAAGTCCAAATTGCAAAGCTGGTTTGGAATTTGACCTTCAAAATTGTTATAACTCAAGGAAACATAGCTTAAAAGAGAAAGTCTCTCGCCAATCCATTTTGGAATGGTTCCGTTCAATAAATTATTTCTAAGATCTAATACTTCCAATTCAAAGCAATTGTAGAATGCCTTGGAGATTGTTCCTTGTATTCTATTTTCAGATAAGTAAACATGTAATAATTGTGGAGGGTTGAAGTTTGATGATAGATATCCAGAGATGTCATTTCTTGAAAGGTCCAAAATTGCAAGAGAAGGCATGTTGCCCATCCACTCTGGTATAACACCTGAGAGATGATTATCACTGATATCTGACACTTCCAAGAAGGAACAATTGGATAAGCTGTTAAGGATATTTCCCGTGAATTGATTTCCATCCAATTGTAAATATTTCAAGAAGCTGACATTGCTAAATGAATTGGGAATGCTATCACTGAAATCATTATTAGAGATATCTAACTCTAATAAGCTCATATGAGAATGAACAGGCAATTGAAAATGTCCTGAAAGAGAATTATTGGCTAAATAAAGTTTTTATAGTTTTGTATTGTTCTTTAACAACCAAATTTGAAAGCTTTCCTCCAGTTTATTATGTGAGAGATCAACTTCTTTTAAGTTATGCTGATAGTAGAGGAATTTGGGAAAGACTCCACCATATCCCAGACTAGATAACATAAGACTCTCTAATTGAAATTTTGGAATCGAATCATATACTTTTATTTCTGAATAAAGCATATTATCCTCACCATAAAAGTACTTGAGTTTTGTATGGTTAAAGAATGGACCAAGTGAAATTGGGATTTCGAAGTGATTGTTTGAAAGACTTAAAGATTGAATGGATGTCAATCCACCAAGGGGGAAGATTTTTCCAGTAAAATGATTGCCAGAAACATCTGAACTTTGAAGGGATGTCATATTTGCCAAGCACCAAGGCAATGTACCTTTGAGATCATTATAGCTCATATCTGAAAATTGGAGATGTTTCAACTCGCATATGCCTGCAATTTATTTATAATTAAAAACTTTAATTGTGTGATGCAGAGAAGAATAAGAATAGGGAGAGAGAGAGAGGGATGACCAAATCTCACCTGAAGCCACTGGTATAGTGCCATTGAGTCTACACTTCCATAATGATAAAGCCTTAAGAGAGGTCATTTTTGCATCACTTCCAGGATGTCGTTGCTACTAGAGGAATAATTCATGTGTAAAATTTCTAGGCTCTTGAAATTTGGCAATCCTACAATAATAACAGTAATATGAAATTTTTAAAATTGTAAACAAGATTAAAATAAGACACTAATAGTAATGTGGGTAGAATTGCCATATTTGATGCTAATTATTAAGGTTTGAATAGAATTGCCATATTTGATGCTAATTATTAAGGTTTGAATTACTATTACAGTGAAATACGCTAATCCGCTTTTCAAAAATTAATTTATAGTCCTTCTATTTTAACTCTATACATGTTAAGGTCTTTATCTTCAAAAAGGATTTTAATAATCTGGGTATTTTATGAATTTCCAATTATAAAATCTTTTTGATAATTTGTTAAATTTTCAATTATAAGGTCAAAAAAAAATAAAGAAGAGGATATGAAGAATACCAACTAATTATAATTTTTTACCAACTAATTATAATTTTTAAACAAAAAATATATTTATTAGATATTTTTATGAGTTATTAGTTAATTAATCAATACAAAAGGTACACATTATAATGGAAGGACAACGAATATTGTCTGACAAATATAAAATGTAAGAAGCATTGAATTCATTTATTAAAAGAAATGACTAATGTAATATATTATAACACACCAAGTAATTCACACAATTATCAAAACCTAAAGAGGTTAATTAATAATGAATTACCTTGAGCTGATAGGGTGTTTTCGAGAACACACAGAGATAAAAATTTAAGAGAAGGCAGCGCTCCAAGACTTTGAAGGGAGATTTCACTCAACGATGAAAAGTCGAGTCTCAATTCTTCCAAGCTGTTCATATTATGCGACTCTGTTTGAAAACAACAACAAATGTTTTATTTAAGACTCAGAATCAAATGCAATTACAAAAATTTTAGGCAATTTACCTTGAGCAAATATTTTTCCTTTGAAATCATTTGCTTGTAAAGAGAGAATCTTTAGATATGGAAATGCTCCCAATGATTGTAGCAGTGAAGAGCTTCTTCCATTTGTGGCGATGTTATCCAGAGTTAGTTTGCTTAACTTGCTTAGACCTCTTGTGTCTGCAAAATGAGAAAAGACAATATATGATCCTTGATTTGATTTAATTAATATTAATCAAGTTTAAATTTTTAAGTTACTTTGTAAATTTAAGTTACTTTGGTACCTTCCTTAGCTTCAAACTTAATTATTTGATTTCCGCTCAAATCTAGCTCCTCTAAGTTACTCAGACCATCCAATTCTGGACAATTCAAAACGACAACTAATTAGATCACGGTAAAAGTTCAATCATATTGTTTTATCTGAACAAAATAAATGAAAACCATAATTGACTGACCTTTCATGTGAAATATCCCTTTCAGAAAATTATAACTTAGATCCAAATGTTTCAAAGAAGGAAATCCATTGGGTGATGAGAGTAAGTTGTTAATGCGATTGTAACTCAGATCAAGATATTGCAGATTGGGTAAACTTGAATTGTTTGTATTACCAATTGAAAAGAAATAGATAAATTGGGTAAGAGGTTAAAACCCATGAGATGAAAATGTAGAATAGAGGAATATTTGGCTTAGGCCAATTAATCTAAAAGGTTAGTATTAACCAATTAATAAGTTAGCTTACCAGTCTTATATGCCTTTAATGAATATGATATTTAGTCGACGTGAGATTTTTAACAGTTTGCGCATATATACAAAGTGCCCAGCTACTTAAATTAAACAAAAATAATTAACTATATAAAAAATCTATTAGGTAGTCATCTCCTCTCCATTTCAAATATAATTTATTAAAATTGTAGAGATTACGCGTGATATGCGCTAAACTCAATTGATTAGTGAATAATCTTAAAATTTTTATATATCATTTCCAAAATGAATTTTATATATATTAGACCAATATGAGAGATGGAAATCTCTTGAGATATGAGAGTAAGGTATTGTTTATGTGAATACTACTCAGTTATATATATCCAATATGAATTACCTTGAAATTCATACCATGAGATAATTTTAATAAAATGTTTTAAGTTGTATTTATATATCATTTGTATACACCAAGCAAAAACCAAGCCCAAGAAGCAAGTAAGTAATTCCTTCCTTAAGCTTTTTGAAAGTTTGCTTCTTATTAATACAATATTATTTGGTATTTTGTGTTAGTATTATTTTGGTTGCCTTTCCCGTTATTATTTCCGTTATTATTTTTGGTATTATAAATTATTAATCAATCTTTGGAGTTTATCACTGCGCTGATATCCAATAGTTATATATATCCAATCCTAGAAAATTAGAAATTGCTTAATACTTGTTGTATTTCTTCAATTAATTTTAATAAAAGAAAGAAAACATAATAAAGATAAATTCATACCATGAGAGAATTCGAAACCTTCAATTTCATTTCGAGATAAATCCAACTTCTCCAAGCTTGTTAAATTACTCAATTCTGCCCCTTTGTAATGATCTTAATTAATATAGGTTTTACTTGAAAGAGATAAAAGAGAAGAGAAATTAAGGAGGAAATTGAACTCACTTTGAATATTAATTGTTCCTTTGATTCTATTGTAGTATAAATATAAATATTTTAAAGATGAAAAACCACTTAGAGAAGGCAAGATGCTCATGTTGAATTTATTATCACCTAAATTCAGAGACTCCAAATTGGAAAGACTTGATAATCTTTCAAAACCTGAAAAGAAAATTCTATAAATTGAAATTTATCAGATAAATTAAACTAAAACTATGCAAGAGATCTATGATATACGAACCTTCATTTTCAACACAGCCCAAAATGTTATTTGCAGGCAAGTAGAGATATTTCAATTCTTTGAAGGGAAGAAAGAAAGAGGCATTGAGATACCAATCTCCAAATTCCTCATCCCTATAAGCATTGAGTGAGGTTACTCTGCCGGTAATGGAATCACATCCAACACCTATCCATTGACAACAATTTAAATTATCGTTATACCAAGACTGCATAAAGTAAGCATTGCCGTTAGGATGATTAAAGTAAGCTTTGAGGTTTAACAAAGCAATTTTGTCATCCTCCAAGCAACCATTACACCACCACTTTCCTTCCAATAACAAAACCATCATAATTGATATCCACACCATTACACCACCACTTTCCTTCCAATAACAAAACCATCATAATTGATATCCACAGCTTCTTCAAAATCATACCCATTTTTCAGTGTACAACCACTTCATCATCACTACCATTTTATAGGAAATGAGTGGACCATCGTACCTCTTGTTCAAACTACATATTTTTTATCTTTTATAGGATGGCATGCATTCTAATAGAACAAGTATAAGCTTACTGTGTCCCAATAAAAATAATCTTACTTTACTTTCTTTTTTCACTAATTCCAAATTATAATTTTGTTTTTGTTTTTAAAAAAGGGTAATCTTTACAATTTTTTATTACACTCAACAAATATACCTTTATTACTCTTAATTAAATCTTAAAATAAATAACTCTAAATTTAAAAAAAAAACTTTAAAGCTATATTTAAAAAATTAAATAAAAATTATTACATAACCATATTATAGTTTAAAGAAACACCAACCATATATTATCATTTTTCATAATTCCGTTTCCTTGATGAAAGAAATATTTATCTTGTTCATTTTTTAGATTCTGAATGGATCAAAATATCGTTGCTGGTTACACATTATTTATTTTTATTAATGATTAATTATTTTCTAAATTTCCTCACCCGGTCTGGAATCCCTTTTATTGAACTTATGAACTCTAGTCCGTTAAATTATTTTGTTGAATATCGTTGCTTAGTAAGGAATGAATCGACTGAGAATAAAGGGAAACTTAATAGAATAAAAGCCTAATAATTTTTAGTAAAAATAAAAGATTAGAAACTTAATTTTAATTAGTAAACTTAATTTTTGATTAATTAAGCCATTATATCAACACATGTTTAATATGCATAATTATCACTCTAACACTCAATCAAATAATAATTCATTTAAAAAATGAAAATTAAAGAAATTGATATCGATAGATAAAAATCAAGAATTTAATAAACTACAAGTTCTTAACTTAAAAATACTTTTTTTCACTGAAAATAATTTTGAATTTACCTATTGTATTAAAAAAAAAAAACTAGTCAAATGCTTGCACAATGCGCAAATTGTACAATTTTAAAAAAAAAAAATTAAATAGCATTACTTTTTAACAATCATATGTGAGTTTGTAGAGAGGTAACAATAATGGGTTATTGTGATTTAGAGAAATTGAGAATATATATAATTAAAGTAAATAAATGATGAATGCAATTAATTAATTATGGGTTAATAATTACTTTTTTCCAAAATGCCAATACTTTTTTCCAAAATGGTCCCAATAAAGACAATTTTTTAAAAATAAAAAAAAAAGAAAGAAAAAGACCAAAATGCCTACTGCGTACTTTCCAATATGAAGACTTGACCATTTCAGATAAGATATTAAACAAATAGGGAAATACCTACCACATATATGTATATTGTCCGTTTTGATTACTACATTTTCATTGGTGTTGTTGATTAATTTGATACGTGTTGTTTGGTTTTCCAATTCCATCACTCTCAAATCAAAAATAGGTTAATTTTCCAGGTCTATTATTATATATACATTATTATATATACATTAAAAAAAAAAGGCAATAGAATTCTACACTATTTACTAACTTTGGAAGAAATTACTAATTCACATTTCACCTATATTTTCCTAATTTATCTTAGTCCGACTTATACATTAGATTAAGAAATATTTAGCTAATATGATTAAACTTAAATTAACTTTTGCTTTGTTTTTTTTTCTTAATATATGCTTATGTTAGTATTCTTCTTAAAAATTAAATGATCCATATTAAATTGTCTTTAAAATTAATCAAACTGTAAATTAAACATTTATTACAATTAGAATTCAATTGAAAATTCAAAGAGTTATATTCTAGTTTTTTTTGTTTTAAATCAAGATTTAATTATGTCATATTATAGTAGTTTGATTCTATTATACTTCCCCTTATTCTCAAATATAAGTCGTTTAAGTTTTGCATAAGAATTAAGGAATCCAATTAACTCTCTTAGATTATTAATAAATTCAATTGATAATTGATCAAATTATCTTTTATTCTCAAAAACCAATAGTTGCTTGTAAAGTATAATTTTTTATTGTATTTAGTGTAAACAAGAGCAACATTGACAAAACCTCATTTATTACTTCTTGAACTACACAAAACGATTTATATTTTGAGACAAAATAACATACCAAAAATGATTTATATTTTGGGATAGAGAGAGTATTTAATAAGATTTAAATATTAAACTTTAAATATCATTCAATTTAAAAAAGAAAAACAAGACAATAATTTGAAATGAATGAATACAAATTACACTTTCTATTTTCACACAGATTAAGAAAGTAGCAATTATTATGGCTAAATGACAATTTTATTCATATAACTTTCTTATTATGCCATCTTAAATAACACATGACTTAAATAACACATGAACAATTATTATATTTGAATAATAACTAAAACTTAATAAGAGTTATTGAAAATAAGCTAAAATTTAATAAGAATATAATAGGCAATTTAAAAATTAACCACAATACAAAAAAAGAAAAGTAGACTATATTTTAGGACAAACCAAAAAGAAAAAATGGACTATCTTTTTGGAACGGAGGGAGTATATAATTTGTATTTACACGCACAAGGAAAAACGTAGGTCCCTATAGTAAAACCCCCGAGGCGTGAGACGAGATAAAATATTATGGAATAAAGGTAGTAGATGGTTCTGGCAAAAAAAAAAAAAAATCCCTATAGTCATTTTAGCAAAATAAAATTATAAAAATTAATTTGGCTGCTAAAAAGTCCAAATGCATAATTTTAAAAGAGTAAATAAAGCTCTAAAAATATTTAAAAGAGTAAATAAAGCTCTAAAAATAAATTTTTATATTTTAAACATATGTTGAGAATTTAAAAAATGGGTTTGTAATAAAAAAAAAAAAGGCCAAATTAACACATATTTTAAACTTTCTAAATTTATCGAATTGATCCATATGTCTTATCAACTTTTATTTATATTTACAGCAAATTTGAGTCACTAACGGCAAAAATTGAATAAAAGCTAACTTTTATAACAAAAATAAAAGTTTAAGTATTTAATAGCTAATACTTTAATTAAATCCTTCCTTAAGCATGTGTTTAACATGCATAATATCACTTTAACCCTCAAATAAATATAGATTTAATGTTAAAAAAATAAAAATTGAAAGAATCAATATCCAAAAATTGATAATATTTTGAACATGACCTCCTACATTAAGGAGAATTCACTATCAATAATCTACATAATAGCCTTCTATGGAGATTTTGTCTAAGTATTTTATTATTTAGATAATTATACTAAAATAAGTGTAGATATTATCTCTAATAAAAGGAAAAAGTTTAAAAGTGATCAAATTAGACTTGTAGCAAGATCATGGCTATGAATAGCCACAAAGTGAAGCAAGCAATTGTCTATATATAAATATTATGCTCTGTTAACTCGATCAAATTCTTCGATCAAGATTATGCTTTTTTATTCTTTGTATAAGTGATTTATTATTATTTCTATGCTATATAAAAAATGTAGAAACATATTGATCTGTATCTCATATCTGTATACAGTTCCTTCTAACGAAATTTTTAGTTTGATTTCTTCTAAATTTTTTTTTTTAAAATTAATTTGATAATGTGCTAAAGACTTTTTGAAAAAAATGGCAACCAAAGTAAATGCATCTTAGATAAGATAATAAAGAAATATCTGCCATTGTATTGTCCTTTTTGATCATTGATGAAAGAAATATTGGTCTTATTGACTAATTTAA